CCTTCCCTTGAGAGATGCTGACATCCCAACGTCTCTTTTGAATGCTCCACAGCTGCTTTTGAAGGGTCTCCAACACTACAGTTCTGCTCACAGCAAGAAATCCATTGAGCATGTTCCCTGAACCATTAAAACTATTTGAAGATTTTCTAGCTCCGTTTGGAAAGGTGAACTTAAAAATCTCAACTCAAAAACAAACAGGTAGATTAACTCGAGAAAAACTTGAGAAAAGGTCAGCCTCAGAAGGCAGAAAGCATTTATGGAGAGTAAATCCAGCAGGGTAAATAACAGGATCCAGCTCTGCCTCTTGTCTTTCTGTCACTGCTACTGTTCCTCAAACAATGCATCATAGCAGGTCTTACTACCATCTTGTAAACCTTCCCTTTCACTCTTGCCGCTATCCTTTTGTAACAAATCCACCCTGACACTCGTCTCCACCCACTCCACCCTTCCCGCACTCTCTTTTTCACCTCGCCATTGCTTTGAATTGTTGACCCAAGTTATTTCGATTCATCTACCTTGAGTTTTTATCAAGGTTGATGAATCTACTGCATGTTTACCTTTCTACCTGACACAGGACAGGATGGAGCTACAGCACTGTGCAAAAGTTTTAGGCAGGTGTGAAAAAATGCTGTAAACAAAGAATGCTTTCAGAAATATAACTGATTGTTTATTGGCCCCAAATGTAATCTGCAGTAGGACAACGAGCCCAAACATACAGCCAAAGTCACTAAGAACTATCTTCAGCGTAAAAAAGTACTGGAAGTGATGGTATGACCTCCACAGAGCCCTGATGCCAACATCATCGAGTGTGTCTGGGATTACATGAAAAGACAGAAGGATGTGAGGAAGCCTACATCCACAAAAGATCTGTGTTTAGTTCTCCAAGACGTTTGGAACAACCTACCGGCCGAGTTCCTTCAAAAACTGTGTGAAGTAGAAGAATTGATGCTGTTTTGAAGGCAAAGGGTGGTCACACCAAATATTGATTCGGTTTAGATTTCTCTTTTGTTCATTCACTGCATTTTGCTAATAATGAAAATGAATGATTAACGCTTCCATTTTGAAAATATTCGCTTTCCACCTGCCTAAAACCTTTGCACAGTACTGTATGTTTTCATGTTTCATGCATACAACAGCTTCGATCTCTACTTTCCAAATGTTGCAGCAGAAATCAAGTCTATCACGGCATCCACAGATTAGTCATTACAGAGGAGAGCAAAACAGCTGTATTGGAGACAGAAGAACACGTGACACCCAAACCATAGTTTTGACATTACTTCTACCAAGAAGCTGGAGTGTTGCCCATACAGTTAATGGGCAAGGTAGAAAGACTCTTGTGAGACACACAGTGGTTGCTTGTGCTTTTTTTGCTCGTCTGCTTCAATATTTGACATGTTGTGTATTTAGAGATGCTTATTCGCATTCCTTTATTCTAACAAATTTGAGTTATTATTGCTTTCCTACCAGCTTGAAGCAGTCTGGCATTGCCTTCTAACCTCTGACATCACCGGATCTTTTCCCTTTTCCGATCCTTCTCTCTAAACTCCAGAGATGCTGGTGTGGGAAAATCCTAGTAGATCAGCAGTTTTTGAAATACCCAGAACAAGCCTTCTGGCACCAAAGTTAATTAAATCACCTTTCTTCCCCATTCTGATGCTCGGTTTGAACTTCAGCAGACTGTCATGATCATGTCTACATGCTTAAATGGAATGAGTTTCTACCATTTGATTAGCTGATTAGATATGTGCATGAAAGTGTAGTGAACCTGTGTATCTAAGTGGCTGGTGAATGTATGTATTTATTATGAGGCTTCATTAGAGCCTCTATGTCTAATGAAGGAAAAAGGCAAACACACAAGCTTGAGTGAACAAATAAGTGATAGTGCAGGCAGACAGTATCTAGTGTAAGCCTATTTGATTTAGAATATATATTGCACCTATGTGAAGGACACCAGATTTTCTCAAGAATTGTACAGGAGGCATCATTTCATATATTTACCCTTGCCCAGCCAATGCCCCTCTGCTTGTTGCTAAGAATTCAAAATAACAACATGAGTTTTGGGAGTTAAATTATTAAATATTGTAGCAATGTTATCACTGCATCAGGACACCTATCCTCAGATGAACTTTTCAGGGTCCAAGGTTTTAAAGGAAAGTGACTGCAGTCATTGTCATGGGAACTGTCATAAAGTGCTTGTGCTCTGTTCGGAGCTGAAAGCATGTCTAATTGTTGCTCTCACTGTTTGAGCTGAAACCCAGCAGCTTCAAAACATCATTCAATATTGATCTTTGGTGCATAAAAAGCTATATTGTACTTTCTCTAGCATCTCTTATTCATAAGAATATGATATGTGGGCTGACTTGATGAAACTTAAAGTCTCATTGGATTGCACAGGTTTGTTAAACAAGCAGTCAAAGTTCAGAGTTGCAAGTTATGAGGCTTCAGGTTTTATGAGGTTATTATATTTTTAAGTTAAGTCAGTGTAAATATGTAGTTTTTTGTGCCTTTTATCTTAATTAATAATAATAATAATAATAATTTTTACACATTTTTCTGGAATATTAGAAATAACAGATTGTATGACTGTGGTCTTCTTATTAGACAGAGAAAACCAACTCCTCTGAAGTCATAGTAATGTCATTGTAGGACATGTCAGGTTTGCCTGCTATCATTGTGAAAGTGTGGCGTTTTATAGAAACTGGTTTTCAATGCAGGTGCAGCAAAAGGAGCCATTATGGGAAATGTATAATTTCATGTGTTGGAACTTAAAAACAAATGACGCAGACTGCTCTACCTCAGCTTTTATTTTGGCCATGTTTTTAATGTCAGGTATAAGCATTTCAATAGATGATAGACAGCAGATGCAGAGTAGGGTTATAGCCATTATGAAGCTGTTAATCTGACTATAAGCCAACAATGTTAACAGACACTGAATAAGTCGGACTACATTTTTAGTCCACTCCTACAGAAGAACTGCCGTCCTCATGCCTGTATCTCCATCTAGTGGAATTAAATTGCAAGTACATCAGACACAAGAACTCTAAATACCACAAAACCGACTGCAGAATAATTACCCTGTCACTGAAGTTCATCTGCTGGATTACTTGTATCCTCTCATCAAATAAGCCTGGCTGGACTAGACTAGGGCCCCAAACTCTGTGCAGTTATAACAGTCAACTACAAGCCAAAATGACTTGTTTAAATCAGTTTGGCTATTATATCATCTATGAGTGTAGCTGATATACTACCACCCAAAAATGTAATTATATTAGAACTATGAGCTACTCAGCACTCATTCCTGTACTAATTACAAACTTTGGGGTGAGGAAAGAACCAGAAATCTTGATTACTATGAAAAAGACTATTATTTATGGTAAGAATAAATAATAAATAAATGAAGATACATATTCTCACTGAACCTGGACTCCTCTTTGTGTCATATTTTTCAATCCATGCATACGGTCATATTAAAAAGCAAATACACCCCGAAAACAAATCATCTTAAAACGGTGCTAAAATTAGGCAAATACAACGTTTTTGAGCAACAACATGACATATTACACAGTCGTGTTATTTATTGAACAAAAACTGAGCCAAAAATGTAGATGCAGTGTGTGAAAGCAATGATTTTCAACCTTTTAGAACCATTTTTAGTAGCAATAACTTAATTGTTTTCTGTACGACTATCAAACGCTCACATTGTTGTGGAGGAATTCAGGCCCAGTCTTCTTTACAACATTGCGTCAGTTCATTGAGGTTTGTGAGGATCCATTTATGCACCTTTATCTTGAGGTCCCACCACAGCACAAGTCCAGAGTTGCTGCTGTGCTTAGGATCGTTGTCCTTTCGCATCACACAGTTTCAGCCATGGCTGATGGACCTCGCATCTGACTCCAGATTACATTATGATCACTGAAAGGTGAAGTGAGTAACACTGGTCATCTGTTCATCTGGTAGTCCGAACTGTTAGTCCGGCGGATATGTTAGGGAGCAAGTGAAAAGTGGGAAAAATGGACACAATTCAGTGATTTAAGCAAGTTTGACAAGGACCAAACTGTGATGACCAGGCACCAGGACTCCGGGCAGTGTTTTGCTGGGAAACACTGGGTCCTGCCATCCATGTGGATGTTACTTTGGCACATACCACCACGTATAATCAAAGGATTTTTGCGCACCATGTACATCCTTTCATGGAGAAGGTATTCGTTGATGGCTGTGGCCTCTTTCAGCATTATAATGCGCCTTGCCACAAAGCAAAAGTGTATCAGGAGGAGAACTACAAGTTTGAGGTGTTGACAACATATTCTCCAGGCCAGTCAGTCCAACTGAGCATCTGTGGGATGTGCTGGACAAACAAGTCAGATTCATAATGGCCCCAGCTCGCAACTAACACAACTTTGTTGGAAATATCTTGGTGCCAGATACCACAGCACACCTTCAGGGGTCTAAAGAAGTCCAGGGCTCCACAGGCTGGAAATGTTTTGGCAGCAAAAGAGGAATTAGCACAATATTAGGCAGATGGTCATAATGTTATGCCTCATGGATGCAATAACTACTGTTATTATTGCTATTTATTTATATAACTTTTAACATTATTTAACATTAAACAGTGGTATGATAACTAATATCCACTTACCAGTAGTATTGTTAAAATATGTCATTTTCTTATCATGAATTAAAAGAATAATAAATTGGAGTTTTGCAATGTTTCACTACTGATCAGCAAGTTTGTTCTCATCCTTAAGGCATTTAAATACAGCAAATATAGTTTAAGTTAGATCAATTTTGTAGTATTGTAGTCATCACTTAGCACTTTATACAAGACCTAATATTAGTTATCAAGGAACTATTTATTAGCGGTGGTTATTATAAAGTTGTATGTGTTTCTTTTTTTATTTGAAGGACAATATTGCATCTTCACTTGTCACCTTGCTGTCATTGTTGGTTCTTACACAACATGCTGAAGGAAGAGCTTCATTAGTGCAATGACACCATGACTCTCACATTTACCATTTTTTTTATTGTAAAGGTGGTTTCTTACAAAAGAGTCACATGGTACAGACATAAAGAAACAAAAGAAAGAGCCCTGTAAATAAAAGAAAGTGACTTCAGAGAAAACATCTACAGAAAACACACCTTTGTGTTGACATTCTTATAAAAAAAATGCAACAAAATCTGCTAAGTAATGCAAAAAAAAAAAAAAAAAAAAAAATCCCCAAAAGATTTTACAGATCGATTTTATCTTCACAAAGCGCAGTAAAAACAATACATGGGAAAAATGTGTTGTAACCAAGGTCCCAGTAACAGTCTGCTGTACATTGATCTATCCTACAGGTTTGAATACTGTAGAAACTTCTATATCCTCTACAGTACATATGCCTTTTACAGCCAGCAGATGTGTAAGATGTCTAAGACACTTCTAAGGCTCCGTCTGAACAAAGCAGATACAGTCATTTCGCTAGTGTTTTACGACCGCAACTACAGCTGATAAAGCGTGATGTCTAAATAAAACATAATCATCTCTGAACATGCTAAAATAAACTCTTCTGACAGAATGAGAGCTGTCGCAGGCTTGATGCTACATCAGCTGAAATGACAGATAAACAGCAGTACAGTATATAAAGACTCATTTTAACAGTATAAAACATCTCCACTGAAATGGTCTGTTCATAAGGAAAGTGGTTTTTAGTAATTACATAGCAGTGTCATTTATATGTGTTGGTTAGATAGTGAATGTACGTATATCCTCAGATTTTTAGAGACTTCTGTGTTACCATCTATGTCTTGCAAAAAAAAAGAAGAAGAAGATTTTCACAGTTAGTTTGCAGTCAATTATTCAATCCGTGGGATTTTTTTCTCACTAGAACCGAAGCTCATTTTTAAAGCAGTGGGTAATACATCCTAAAAATGTTTCTGTTTCCATTATCTGACGTTAAGTTTATTTCATACAACAATAACACTGGAGTAGCACATTAACATTTTGAGAAACAGGCTTCTTTTACACTGATCCAATTGTGTTGGATGTATAAACTCATCCTCTGATATTTGTGAGAACCAACTTAGTTTGTTTAGCCTGAAGTCTGAAAGCAAGGGGAAGACTTATCCTGGCTCTGCAATGCAATTGCTGTTTCACTGTCACCCTTACAGTGACTGCACATGTCCAAAAAATAGCCCTTCACAGAGCCCAGTGGAAACTGGTGTGCACTAAACATTTTACATAATGAGTGATGCGTCATTGAACTAGACACACTAGAAGATGGATTTTGTGCTTTTTGAACAGAGCCACTCAGTGCGTTTTCTCATTGTCTTTTATGTAGTTTTCATTTTCCCTCAGCCAACCAGGTAGAAGTTGCATCCTTTTACCACACAAACTAAGAGTAATAATTAAACATGGCATTACTCCAGACAGATCACAACTTCACACTCGGTCACAATCCCGGCTGATTCCCTTCTATACATTCATCCATCCAGCTTCTCCACTGTCACTACAAGCTGCTTTGTGCTCTCCACCCTGCTCCTCCTGTTACCATGTGTCTGACCTTATAGTACAGATGTACTTAATATTCTTTTGAGTATAATAGCTCTCACTGAACTAATATTTTCCTGTGCAAGAAATCTTAATATTACAGTAGCACTGGATGAAACACTAAATCAAAGTAAAGTAGTATCACAGTATTATTGGCATTTAATGGTCAGATTAAAGTTGTCTGGTAGTGTTATAGGAGGCATCTTAATGGGGACAAAGCAGGTTAACATATTTCCAATACAGAGCATGTAATCCACTTAGCTAATGCTAATTTTGAATTCTCCCCAGTAGAGCCTTTACATAAACAGTACATTAAAAGTATCCAGCTTTCATTAAAATGCTCAGCTCCTGATTTTTTAGTAGCTAAATCAATGTTTTGTAGGTGCTGCAGAGGACAGGGAGATATTGGTGAAAATACACAGAAAATACTTTCCTACTAGGAGTAAACAAAACCCAACTAAAAAGTTAAAGTTTGTTGCAAAATATGTATTCGGTTACTTTAGCGTCAGGTTTCTTTCTTCTTCTTTTTTTTTGCAGGACACAGGCTTTCTCTCTAATACTTCCACTATGCTCTAAAAGGAAAATAAATCAACCCAGCTAACTAAATGTCCACAAAATCGTCACTAAAACAGCATGTCATTATGTCTTATTCTTCTTATTCCTTCCCTTTCTTAAATCCTTACTTAAATCCTCAGATTTTTCCAATAATAACCCATAATAATCCTGTACGTCTCCTCCCAGCTACATAAAAAAAAAAAAATCAATCTCTGTCACCACTGTTTTTAATGAATTCTGATTTTCATGTTTAATCCACTGCACACCTCCCTGCCTCTCTGTAGCTTAGCAGTGCCCCCTAGCATTCCCGAGCGTTACAGGCACGGATCTCCTTCCTGTCCTTACAGCCTTTGGACTTTGTTCTTTTCTTTGCCACCCTGAAACGCTCCTGGATCCCTCCCCCGCACGGTTTGGTGCACTCTGTCCAGCTAGACCACGGCTGCATCCTGCAACCTGATGGAATAAAACAGACTCTTAGTTAATAGAAAAAATTACAAGGAAAAGCAAAATATCCCGAAATTGCATGAACTTAAACATTTGTTCATTATTTCTCTTATACAGAGGCTTCGATCTCGGAAGGAGAGACAAATCCCTTCAGTTGCGTCAGGAAGGGCATCTCGTGTTTTTTAAGAGCAAAAAGAATGATCGGCCAAATCAAAACATGTGGAGCTATCTACTTTAACAGTCTCTTGTGAATAAGGGAGCAGCTGAAAGTAGCTTCACTGAACATCTCTGCTCTGTGCATTCTCATGCTTGTCTGCACTCTTGCTCGACCCTTTGCATCGACTATCTTCTGTTGTGGACATGGATGCTAAAGACTTAATGTCTGTGCGTCACATTTGTTAATGTGGTATATTTCCATATTCTATATTTCTATCAGGAAACAAATTTAGTTAAAACAGGTCACAAAATCAAACTCAGGCGATGTCATCGCGAGCCAATGTAACCTCATGGATCTGTTGATACGGTTACTCACGTCTAACTAGCTAGGTCCCACATGGAGCCATGCCACCAAAAACAAACAGCTGCAGATGGACATATCAGGGTTTGTCTAGTATCTCAGTCCTGACTTAAATTGCTTTGCTGGAATAAAACAACTAACCATCTAAAACATCGGCTCGTTAAAATGTCTAAATGCTACATGAAGCAGTTTCAACAGACTACCACGACCAACCTGGCACCTCTTCCTCCTTAATCGGTTTTCGCCGACACTTCCGGAGCTTGCACTTCTTCCTCTGGATGGTCTCAGGACAATAGCTGCCTCCAAACTGTGGCTCCACTTTGATCATACGGGTCCGAATGGTGTGTCCTTTACCACAGGTCTTGTTGCACTCTGACCACTCTGTCCACTCTGAGACCATGCAGTCGACAGCTAGATAGATGGAAGGAAAAAAGGAAGAGAAGGGGAAAAGGTAAACATGGAGGGAAAGACAGGAATAAAGGCACAAAATTTAAAAAGAGCTACTCCAGGATTGGTGAGCTCACTTGACCTTATTATCTTCTCCCTGGCGTTTACTTAGTGTGCTTTTGTCTTGACTTTGTCGGTTCATTGTTACATAGCCCTTAAATATTATTATTATACCATTTTTCTATTTCTATATCCATTTCTTTCTTGGTTTTTGCTTGGATCCTGATTCAGTGCTGTCACCAGCATGACACCATGAGTGCTGATGAACATTTACAGTTACAGCCCAGAACAAAGAGTCTGGAACAAAGAGAGTGTTGGACACCATGCTAACTGCGGACTGCGGACTATAACGGACTATAAACGACCAGCTTCTTCAATGATGAATGCAGATGCTTCACTGGCTGATGAGCTGAACACGTTTTATGCTCGCTTCGACGCCGCAGCAATTAAAACAACAAACGGCTGCGCGCGCTCGGAGTGCACCAGTGAAGAAAATGCATTCGTCATCACAGAGCATGCCGTGAGGAACACCTTCAGGAGGGTGAACACCAGGAAGGCAGCAGGACCAGATGCAATCCCTGGCCGGGTCCTTAGAGCCTGCGCTGATCAACTAGCACCGGTGTTCACGGAGATCTTCAACCTCTCCCTGGCCCAAGCTGTGGTTCCCACGTGCTTCAAACAGTCCATTATTGTCCCTGTTCCAAAGAAACAACAGCCCGCTTGCCACAATGACTACCGTCCAGTAGCACTGACTTCAATTGTGATGAAGTGTTTTGAAAGACTGATGAGAGATCACATCACTTCTTCACTTCCTGCCACCATCGACTCACTTCAGTTTGCTTACCGGACTAATCGTTCCACAGACGATGCCATATCTCACCTGCTCCACACATCCCTGAGTCACCTGGACACTGGCAGAGGGAATTATGTTAGGATGCTGTTCGTGGACTACAGTTCAGCATTCAACACAATAATTCCCTCTAAGCTTTTCACCAAGTTGACGGATCTAGGACTCAGCTCATCACTGTGTCAGTGGATCCTCAACTTCCTCACAGACAGACCCCAATCAGTGAGGGTAGGAAAACAAGTCTCCCCCTCCATCTCACTCAGCACTGGAGTGCCTCAGGGCTGTGTTTTAAGCCCCCTGCTGTACTCACTGTACACTTATGACTGTGTAGCCACATCCGACACCACCTCCATTGTCAAGTTTGCTGACGACACTGCTGTTGTGGGCCTGATCTCCGACAACATCGAGACGGCCTACCTGGAGGAGATTAGGAACCTAATTTCTAAGTTAATTTGTAAATTCTGTAGTAAACTGTAAATTGCAAATATTGTAAAACTTTTCTTCTGTCATTTAATGGTCGGGCATTGTACAGCTACAAGCATTTCACCCCCATGTCATACTGTGTATGGTTGTGTGTGTGTGACAAATAAAATTTGAATTTGAATTTGAAATTTGATAACTAAGGCTACGTTCACACTGCAGGCGAAAGCGCATCAAATCCGATTTTTTGACCCTATGCGACCCATATCCGATCATGCGTATGACAGTGTGAACGGCACAAATCCGATATTTTCAAATCCGATCTGGGTCACTTTCGTATGTGGTACTGAATCCGATACATATCCGATGTTTTAGAAAGCGACTGCTGTTTGAACGGTCATGTCGCATTAAATCCGTCTTTTACGTCACTGACACAAGACAGACGCCAATTATCAGCGCCGAGAAGACATCGCGAACGCTTCCTGGCCATCCAGTGTAGATGTCAGTGAAACTGTTGGGAAGACAACGTTGGAGAAACGTGAACATTTTATTTGTACTGTATAATCTGCAGATTCTGACAGAAATCTGCAACTATCCTTTGAAGCACCGCTCCTCTAAAACAGCAATAAGGATAATTATTAGGTTATTTACATTATTATGTAAATAACAAAATAACTTAAAGCAAAAATTGGGAAACGTAAAGTCCGAAGTCTTTATATTAAGGGCCATCAGTCAAACAATACTGTTTGCTCTGGGTCTAAACAGAGCGCGTTGTGTGTGACGTCTTCTTTTGCGCATGCGGGCCGCTTTGAGCGTTCACACTAGAGCGCGTTTGCTGTCGCATTTTATTTGTAGTGTGAACAGCAGACAAAAAAATCGGATTTGATCAAAAAATCGGAATTGAGCATTAAGACCTGCAGTGTGAACGTAGCCTTAGTATGTTTTCCTTGTTGTGGCAAAGGTTTTAGTTTCCTGGTGTTGTTATTTTGTACTTTAGTTTAATAAAAAAAACACCTATTAGTTTATTGTCTGTGTTCTGAGTCCTGCGTTTGGGTCCTACCTTTGTCAGCCACGCATCACCTAAGACATGTAAGGCTGTTTGCAAACAATTTGAAGTTCATGATTCTGCAACAAAAAACTTTATGCACAAGTGGAAAACATTCAAGACAGCCGCCAATTTGACCAGGAGGGGACATTCCCAAAAAATCCCGCTGAGGGCTACTTCTCAGAATCTACAGGCCTCAGTTAGCATGTTAACTGTTAAAGTTCATGACAGTAAAAGTAGAGAAAGACTCTACAGGTATGGCTTGTTTGAAAGGGTTACCAGGAGAAACTCTCTGTTCAGCACAGTTTCATCTGAACAAACCAGAAGAATTTCTGAAACAACATCCTTTGGACAGACAAGACCAGTGGAAGTGGAAATGTTTGGCGATATCACACAGCATCACATTTATCAAAAAGCAAACATGGCATATCAGCACAAGCGCCTCATACAAGCTCAGCATGGGGATGAAAGGGTGATGATTTGGAGTCACAGAACCTGGGCACTTTTCAGCCACTGAGCTGACCGTGAATTCGTCTGTATATCAAAGTCTTCTACAGTCAAATGTGAGAGTATCTGTCTGACAGATAAAATCTGTCCCCAAACTGGGTCATGCAGGACAATGATCCCAAGCCCAGCTGCACATCTCCAACAGAATGGCTGAAAAAGAACGGAATCAGGCTGTTGCAATGGCCCAGTCAAAGTCCAGACCTCAACCTGATTGGCTGTGCGCAAACAAATACCCGAAAACCTGAATGAACTAAGGCAATATAAAATTGGGAAACGTAAAGTCCGAAGTCTTTATATTAAGGGCCATCAGTCAAACAATACTGTTTGCTCTGGGTCTAAACAGAGCGCGTTGTGTGTGACGTCTTCTTTTGCGCATGCGGGCCGCTTTGAGCGTTCACACTAGAGCGCGTTTGCTGTCGCATTTTATTTGTAGTGTGAACAAGCAGACAAAAAAATCGGATTTGATCAAAAAATCGGAATTGAGCATTAAGACCTGCAGTGTGAACGTAGCCTAAGACTTAACTTTTGTGTCTGTTTGGATGTACATGCAACTAGTGTATTCACATTAAACAGATCAACTCCCAATGAGCATGGCAGCTGCTCACTTTTATACCAAAATTATAAAGTTAATGCAGATAAAAGATTTCTAAAAGCCAGCAGTGCATGCTATATCGTGATTGGAAATGACCAATCCAATATGGTGTTCAGTCATGTTTATGTCACACTATAGTGCTACTAGTCACATGTGGCATGTGGTCAATTTAGGTGAATGGGCTGAATTCATTTCATGCAAAGTTGCTACATCTTCAACACGACAAAACGGTTTGTGACTAATTTATCATACGAAAATTTTTTGCTGTGCTCAAAGGCAAGTGATTACTATTGTCAATTCTCTGCCAGTCCCCTGCTCTGCAAGTTTCAGCTCTTAAGCAATGACATATGACTCCACATAGTCCCCAAGTCTGAGAAAAAGTGATGGGGGCATGTTAAATAATTACTGAAATACACTGTGGGCAAGGACAATAAATCTTACTCTTTGGCTATGAAGATGGGAATGACTCTGTGCTGTGTGTGATTTATGTCTAGTAAGTGTGGCAGCGCCACTGTTTTAGTCCTGGAGGAAATCACTGACACCCTGATTAACTAGCCCCTTCTATAGTCAAACAAGAAAAGAAAAGAAAAAAAAAACGTTTTTAACACCTTTCTTAGTAATATCATTAAAGCCTGACCAAAATGTGACTTTTGAGGTTGATACCTCAGGGGGTAGGTTTTGTTTGAGCATTAGGAGGGGCACAGATGAAGTCCAGGGTCCTATCTGAGGAAATATGGAGGATGAGACTCTTATTTCCTGCATTCTTAGGGATCTTTGTAGAAAGGACACCATTATTACATATCAGCTGAAGTTGTAGTTGAAATGAAAACACAAAAAAAAATCAGGAATCAGTTCACAGTTTATCATATTGGGATCTCTTTTGCCTTAACTCCTTCTAGCATAGATTCGGTGAGCTCATCAGAACATCCAGTCTTCTATTGTCCACTTTTGGTGAGTCTGTGCAAAATAGCCTCAGTTTGTTAATATTAGCTGACAGGAGTGGCATTCGATGTGGTCTTTTGTAGCCTATTTGCTTTAAAGTTCAATGTGCTGCGAGTTTAGAGATGCTCTTCTGCATCCCATGGTTGTAACAAGTGGCTATTTTGAATTACTGTTGCCTTCCTATCAGCTTAAAGCATTCTCACCTTTCTCTTCTGACCTCTGGCATCAACAAGGCATTTTCTCACAGAGAAATGCTGCTCATCGGATATTTGGATCTCTTTTTCTCACTATTATTTGCAAACCGTAGAGATAGTTACGTGGGAAAAACCTGGTAGATCAGCAGTTTCTGAAATATAAAGTCACTTAAAGCAATGTTAGTCACCGTTTTAATGGTCAGTTTGATTTTCAGCAGGTTATCTTGACCACCTCCAAATTTCCAAATGCATTGAGCTGATGTGATCAGATATTAGCATTAATAGGTAACTAGTTACTATGTTAATATACTCTGGCTTTCTGTATTACTTTCAAATATTTAGTCTCCACTTTTCTCATGTAATCTTGTTCAGTTAATGCAAACAGGGATCGTTTAATCTTCAGCGCTCTTTTGTGTTTGGCTGGTTTTAGATGTGAGAGTGTGAGCTGTACCCGGTATCTACCTAAGAACAACAACAACAACAACAACAAAAGAGCACTTACGACACTCAGGAAGCATGCACTTCTCTGTCTGCTCCAGCTCTTCAGTGCACTCTGCAGGATCAGACTTCAGCATCCTCTGCCGTGTTCGGATCCCCCGTCCACATGTGACACTACACTCACTCCACTCCGACCAAGGCGACAGCATGCAGGGGATGGTATCTGGTTTAAGTGATACACACACGTAATTATAGTATTTGCTCATTCATTACAGTCAGCTAAAATAAAATGCAAATGAAGTGCTAATATACCAACAAATGCTCATGCAAAAAAACAACATATGACAAAACAGCAACTGTTGACTCACGGCATTCTGGCATCATGCATTTCTCCACTTCAGCTACCTCGGTCTTACACATGGATCCATCTATAGGGGGCATCTTTACCATACGCTCCCTTCTTCTCATGCCTATCCCGCAGGTGACGCTGCAGGGATCCCACTCCACCCACTCAGTCACCACGCAGCTGCTGGGTGCTGTTGGAAGGACAGAATACAAAAACCATCTCCATCCATCAGTTTCAGCTCAAAATTGAACATTTACGGCAAAAATGTATCGTTAGTTCACTTTCAGTTAATATATGTTAGTATTTTAAGCACAGTGGAATAACTACTGTGCAAATTTGACCGACCGATCAATAATAGAGGACAAGTAGGAGAAAAAACACTCTTTTTGCCTTTAAAAAAACCTAAAAAAAAAAGCCATCACTGTGATGTAAATACGATGGTTCCTACTCTGTATTTTTATAAAAAGCTTATAGATCTGCCTCTCCTTCAGTTTCCACTTAATTCTGACCATTAATAAGAAAAACTCCTTGCTCCTTTAATATGCAAATGTACTCAAGAGATAAAACAGGCTACTCTCCAAATTTACAAATACAGAGCACATGTTTTATATAAGACAGATAACCTTCCCCATCATTCACTTAGTGAATACCAGGAACAAAGCTAGAAGTCTGACGACCTTGAATAGCCATATCTGCTCAGCGTGTCTCTCATGAATTCAATAAAAACATCACAAACAAAGATGATCACAAATAGTGCAATATCGACTCCTATCAAACTACAAAGAAGCAACAGACACTACGGCAATGAAGCCACTGGCATGGATAGTGTAACAAGACTCAGGCACAAAAGGCATCCATGTGGGTCAGTTAGCTCATAACCTCTGTTGCTATTACTGTTTATCAAGTTACACACTCTTCAGCCACACTACAGGGGGAATTATAAAAAGCTTCGTCTGTCTGTTGACTTCAGAGATCTGAGCCAGTCAGACTCCTCCTAGACTACAAAACACATCATTTTTACTTTTTACTACTTCTAAAACCTGTTTTTATGTAAAAATGTAAGTGACTTTACTTATGTTATTACATTTGTAACCCAAAGTGAGAGTTGGAGAACATTTCTTGGTGTATAAAGTAGGTGTAATGCAACCACTGACATCCCCCAGGTGATCTGGAGGTGTTGGTGAGGAGAGGGAGTCTGGCATCTCTGCTTAGAACGCTGCCCCATGACCTAGTCCTGGATTTGCAGTA